CAATTTAAATAAATAATTTATTTTTTAGAACAAATTTATTTATTTATATTTGTAAGGGCACATTTGTTTGAGTAGATTTGAAGGTTCCGCCATGTAAAATGTCTCCGTCCCTAAATTTTTTGGCGTTTAAAAAAAAATTCACTCCTTAATTAAGCTTCTGTTTATTTATTGTGTGGTCACTATAATTTTAAATTTTTTTTATTTTTTATTTTTTATTATCTTGAAAGTATTATTATAAAATATGAAGAAAAATATAATAATATATTTTAAAAAATTATTTAAAATTAATTAAGTATACCAAATGTACGTCTTAAATATGATCCTGTATGGAAAAATTAGTGCAAAATATTAACAAACCGAAATCTTAGTTGCCTAATTTTTTATTCCTTCTCATGCGACAAACTCACATGCACGGTGTCCACGCAGGGCAGAAGGTAACCCATCAAGTTTGAGTTGAGTTATTCACCCAAAAACAGAAAAACGAAAAACAGAAGGTCTGAGTTGAGTCGTGCAAGGAAAGAATTTCAGTTATGCGTGGCCCGTTTTCCGTTCAAAGGTTATATTCATGGATGGGGGCGCACAATGAAGTGGTTGTTTTTGTTATAGTCTTAATTATTAATATTATATATTTTTATTTTTATTAATTATTTTATTTTTAATTCATCTAATAAATAAAAAATGTAATATTTAAAAAATATATATTATAAAAATATAATAATTAATTATATTAAAACTATATAATATTAATTATTTAAAATGTGATAACAACTTATACATAATAAAAAACAAGTAAATATCTCTTTATTATTATTATTATTTGAGCCTTATTTTTTTTATTTTCTCATTCAACTACCCACCTCTGTACATATTTAAAATTAAAAATGCTCTTATTATGAAAAAAAAAAAAAAAAAACTATTGTATGTTTACGTTGAGGAAAACAAAGAAGAATAGGAGAAAAGAAATGATTTTTTGATCGATTAAATGATAGTATTTTTAAAATATCATAATTTAATTGGTAAAAAAATTATTTTTCTCTCTTTTTTTTTTCTTAATCCAAACATATTATTAATTATTTAAGTGATTGGCATTAATAGAGATTATTTGTAGGTTGTTTAAATATCAGTGGGATATATTAAGACTCGTAAAGGAAAGATATATAACA